ATCTCCAGGGAGCTCTGGGATCTCCAGGAAGCACTAGGGTGTGCTGGGATGCTGCTGGGATCTCCAGGGACCATTGGGAATGGTGCTGGGATCCACTGGGAACCTCTGAGATCTCCAGGGACCTTTAGGGATGGTTCTGGGATCTCCAGGGACCATTGGGAATGGTGCTGACATCTCCAGGGAGCTCTGGGACAACTGGGAACCTCTGGGATCTCCAGGGAGCTCTGGGAGCATTGGGAAGCTCTGGGATCTCCAGAGAGCATTGGGAATGGTGCTGGGATCTCCAGGGAACTCTGGGATGGTACTGTGATCACTGGGAATTTCTGGGATCTCCAGGGACTATTGGGAATGGTGCTGGCATCTCCAGGGAGTCTGGGATGGTGCTGGAATCCCAAGGAATAACTGAGATGGTGCTGGGATCTCCAGGGAGCTCGGGGATGGTTCTGAGATCTCCAAGGACACACTGAGATGGTTCTGGGATCTCCAGGACACACTGAGATGGTTCTGGGATCTCCAGGAAGCGCTGGGATGATTCTGGGATCTCCAGGAAGCTCTGGGATGGTGCTGGGTTCTACAGGGACCATTGGGAATGGTGCTGGCATCTCCTGGGAGCTCTGGGATGGTTCTGAGATCTCCAAGGATCACTGAGATGGTTCTGGGATCTCCAGGAAGCACTGGGATGGTGCTGGGCTCTCCAGGATCCTCAGTGATCTTTATGTTTATCCTTGTTTCCGTGCTTTCTGCAGGATATGATGGATGATATCTGCCAGGAGCAGTTCCTGGAGCTCTCTTATCTCAACGGGGTCCCGGAGCCCAACCGCGGCCGAGGCGGCCCCGGGCGGGGCCGGGGGGCAGCCCCACCTCCCCCTCCTCCCGTGCCAAGGTATTCCCAAAATCCCAGCCTGGGAATGCTGCCTTGCCCTCCCAGCTGGGCTCTCAGAGAGCTTCAGCTGCTGCTCCTGGCACAGCAGCTCGGCCTGACTTTGGGGTGCTGCCCTGCTGGCTCAGGGCGCCGTGGTTGGGGTTTGGGGTGGGTTTGGGATGGGTTTGGGGTGGGTTTGGGGTGGGTTTCAGCTGTAGTTTCCTGAAGGAAGCTCTGAGAAATGGGATGGATGTGCTGTAGCCCCCCTCAGCATTCTCAGCTGGAAGTGCCCATCCCTACAGAGCTCTGGGGTGGCGTCGTTCTGGCAAAGCTTGGGGATAAGCTGGCAACAAAACTGTTCCTTCATGCTTACCTCACTCCCTGATCCGTGGGCTGGTGCTTTTCCTTCTGCTTGGAGTGATCCTGAGGGATCTGGAGTGATCCCAGGTGGGTGGGAGGCACCTTTGGAGTGAAATTCCCTACCCAAAGTTCTGTATCAGATTTGTCTACTTGAGCCTCCTT